TGTAACAATTTTAAAAATTAATAGAAATTAAAGCTTTACTAAAATTGAAGTTAATAGAAAGACAGTATAAAAAAACTACATTAATTAGAAGATCAATTAGTTAAACCATTAATACTGATCATTATGGGTAGTAGCGTCGTCGCCTTCGTCGATATTGTCATCATGATTGATAAAGTAGACAACGTTATTATTCATAAGTTGACTGGACTGTTGGTAGTAATAGTCGATACGGATATTAGGAAATTTATGGGTCGGAATAAACTCGACAAGATTTGATGTCGAACTGAATTGGCCTAGGTCTTTTCATTGAAAAGGAAAAAAAAATTTCATATAATTACTTTTTTAAAAATTTAAAAAATCAATTTAAAATTGCCTCTACTGTTATGGTTGTTATCCCACTTACCATAATTTGATTGAACATCTTTAGAACATCTCCGACCCCTTTTCAAGCAATTTCTGCAGCTGGTATTTCTTCCTTCAGAACACTTTTTATGCGATATTCTGCAATTTGTACAAGCAACGTTATATGGCCCCCTTGGCTTTTTAATTTGTTTAATTCTGTTGTTTTTCATAATTAAAAATTAAAAATGCGGCTATAATTAATAACAATAAGATAAAGAATGTAAATTTTTGAAAAATATTTGTTTTTTTTTTGTGAGAAAAGTGGTTTTTTTATATAAATATTGCTTACTATTTGGTTGAAAATCTAAAATAATGTTTTCAATAAGAACTCAAGGCGACTATTACATCACATTGTTACCATTTGTTATTGATTTGGCAATAATTATATTATATATATCTTAATCAAGCTAAATAAGATAAAATAAAGACTGATTGATTAGCAAATAAAATTCTTTGGCCACTAAAAACTTTGTTTTTGAGGTGGTTTGCGCGGCATGGGTATTTGGTGTGAATTTAATTCTGTACATTGTTATATATTCTAACTATATTTGACGTGTTTTTTGGAAATATCATACTTGATTAGGTAAGTAATTTATCTAACAAATAAATAAAGCTTTATTGAATGTGTACTTCCATTTGCGAGCAACTCTAATTATTAGTTAACACATAATTGGTTTGGCCGCTCGTTACGAAAGAAATTTGGGCCAGATCGTCAGTCAAATGGTGGTAATCACTATCATTTTCTCTCCGTGTAGCCTGGTCAGTTGGAATAACATCAGCCAAACAAACAAGCGTTAAGGCGCAATTTTACTCTGAATTGATTTGACGGTTTTGCTTCATTCATTATATCTTTTTTGAATTGAATCATCGACAAAAATCACAAATACACCATTTTTTTCGGTGAAGTCAAAGCTGTTGTCATCACAGTAGATCTTGTTACATGTGTAAAGTCAACAATGTATGACTGCGCACAATAAGCTTTAAGATTTTAATTTATAGAACATATAATGTAAATAAATCACATGCCTGTATCGCGGGGTTCGCTATCTACAGCTGGCGTTCGGACTAGAAAGACTTCTTTATATAGTGATAGTACAATTAATTGTCGTCACATATCTACATGTTATATAATATCACTATATGTTAGTCTTGTCATAAACTGTATTTGAATACCTACTAATATAGTTATATAAAATTGAATTATTTAAAAGTTTACACGAAATAGATTGAAATGATATCTTTACATTATAAATATATGACTTTGTTTGTTGTAAAAGGCTTCAAGTTGCAATTCTATAAAACAAATAAATAAAAAAAAATTTTCTTGAGAAAAAAGAATCCATATAAACAATTTGAAGTAACAAAATCATTAGTTTCAGATATGGAAAATATTTGAAAGAGTTTAAGTTGCTTTATATTTATGGATTATGATACAAGCTTTATCCTCCAAAAATGGTTGTATGCAGTGTACGAATATTAGTAGTAAATCTCAATCTCATTTTATTTATTTTGTGCGTTTAATATATAATTTAATTCTATTATTTTATTGATTATAAACATTGTTTATTAAAAAAACATTCGTTGAACATTGTGTATTAATATTAATTTCAAAACAATTTAAAGTTACGAACTTGCTATTATTTACACGTTACACGTAATATATAAGTCTTTCGGGAATAAAAAGTCCGCTGCTAATACTGCATTGTTTTGAAATATATATATACGAGTTTTTTTTATTTTGAATCTGATAATACAATGATATAATTGGTGGAAAAATTGGGCCTGGAAAAGGAGAACGGGGTAACCAAATTTATAAGAATATATACCTCGCACAAGATTCACCATAAATATATTATTTTTCCCAATTTGGTTAATTATATAATGGTAATCATTGTTAAAAGTATATATGTAGTTGATGAAAAGCTCCAAAAATAGAATCTAAACGTCTTATTGGCTTATTTAAAATTATCAATTTTCCACCATAAAAAATCATTCACCAATACTTATTTGTTACATATTTTTTTATAGTTTGAAAAAAATCGGAAACATGCCGAAAACCTGATTCCAACCACTCACGGAGAAGGCGATTTTTTTCAAGATATATTTGTATTAATTGATGATATCAATTCTGTCTAAAATAAAATAGGTAGAAAATTCAATTTCGCCCGTTCATATTATGTTATCCTTTGTGTATATTCCATTTTGAAATTTTCATATTAAAATTATGTGAAACATTTATTACCAAAAATACTAAAATACTACTAATATAATAAACAAAAACTTTGTTTTTTGGGGGGAATAAAACACACATAATACACACATATATATTTTCGTCAAATAATTGTATTTATTGCATTTATTAATAGGAAAAATAATTAGAGCAACTCCAACGCTTGTTTTTGTTATGACTAAATCTAGATATCCGTCGTTTATTTATTTTGAGAGAGGAGGGTTATTCATTATCAAGTTCTATTTCATTGATTCAGAATGCATTCGAATATTTTTTGACATATTAATATCTTCAGCTGACAGTTTTTATTTTTGCCATATTGCGAGCCAGGAACATTTCTTTCGACCTTTTAATTCCATTTAAATTAATCCTTCCCTCCAAGCTTGCTTAATTTTTAATCACATATCCAGGTATCAGTTTTGCATATATAATAAATTTTTTGGATCATTATCATTTAGTAAAAGTAATCTATTCATTAATGATTCGATCTAATCTTTGCTTTATAGCTAATTTATTCCCAGAGGAGCCCAAATTACTTTCTTTAAGCTTGAAACTTACATAACTTCTGATGTTACATATAATTCCATCCTGGCTGGTTAAAGTTTTTTGGTCGATGGAAATTAAAATTGGTAAATCACATTTTCAAAAAAAAAAAAAATCTTTTGAAATACGTATATATGTGCGCACGTGCGCAACACATACATATACGTTTTTTATATATTATATCAAGAAATATATATATACACGCATATAAATATTTATTTTGTTTTTTAATACATATGAATATGAAGGGCAATTTAGATACTCATCGTCGAAAACTTTATGATCTAACTGAACGAACGTGTAATAATATTATTGAACTTGATTCAAAGTCATTTATGAATTAGCAACAAAAGCAACACCATCACTCGCAACAGCAGCAGCAATAACAACAACAACAACAACAACAACAACAACAACAACAACAACAACAACAACAACAACAACAATTACTACTACTACAACTGCAACTACAACTACAACAACAACAACTACTACTACAATCCAACAACATCATCTTAAAAAAATTAATATTATGTATTGGCCTTTTTTGAAGTTCTGCCACCTTCATTCATGAATCCATGCGAGTCATGTCCAAATATTATCAAAAATCTTGCTGGTATGACATGATAATAATAATAAATGTAAAATTTGAACGTATATCATGCCCGCAAAATAACCAATTGTGACAAGGTAAAAAAATTTTATATTTATATTGTATAATAATAATATAAATTAACTTTTTATAAGGTTAACTTTTTAATCATCAAAAAGCCGTTAATAACAGGAACCTTAAAATCACAAATATCAATAAAAACATCGTGGGAGATGTCATCCAAAAGAGGAAAAAAATAATAGTAATTATTAAATAATATATTTTTAAAAAAGAAAGTATTTATATTTAAATTTAAATTTTTTTATACATACGTTTATATAAATTTTTTTATCTACATTTATGCATATTCTTAGATGCATGTTTTTTTACCTACATTCTTTTATGCATGTTCTTACTATATTTAATGTATATATAATTTTTATTTTAGGTGAAACACATGTCTACCATGTGGTGGGGTGTAAATGTCGGTCGATGCAAAGTTGACAGTCTTTTTTTTTTTAATGACAAACAATGAATATGTGTTACTGTTATTGTTTGTCATTGTTTTATTAAGTAAATCACATAGATTACATAAAGTTTGCAACAATTTCATAAGCAAATGATCGGCATATCTTTGTTATTAAGAATGGAAGTATAACAAACAATAATTGAGGTAAATTAATTATCTGTCATTGTTGTCATTGTGTACAATATGTCACGGGAAGTAACAAGATAAATTATATTGATTTTCTACTTTATTTTTAACATATTAGAGCTTCACTAACTGTCACAAAGAGAGATGATATTGCAGAGAAACCAAGATCTCAGTGCTTCATTTATATACCACGTGGAAAATAGGGTCACCTTGACAAGAAAAAAATTATAATACGACCAAAGCCTCGATTTCCTTGACAAATGGAGTGGTTCAAGTTGAATGAATTGTAGGAAAAGAATCAAGCGACATGGAAACTACGGGCCTGCTTGTGTATAGAATGCATTTCTGTCTTGTTGACACTAGGATTACACATCTCGAGTGCCGATGGAATACCTTTTTACTTAACATGTCAAACTTGTTAATTTATTTCTTTACGGATGAATCATCTCGTGATGAGCGTGTGTATAATTTCTGAATGTATGTTTTTGCAGAAAGCTATGCCAATTTAAAAGAACAAATAGTTACTACAAGAATAAAAATTATCTCTCCTTACTCACCATATCAGCTCTTACCCAAGTAACCTATCGGTAAGTTTAGAATATGGTTGGGTTGTGTGTATAAAGTTAATGAATTAGCAACATTTACCACTTTTTTGAATATTGAAAAAGATATAAAGAAGCTCCATTGGTACCTGTCACACTACTAAACCAACAGTGAAGATGACAATGGCCAGATTGACATTTGATACACCAAAAACGATTTAAATTACCCAATCCAATGATGCTCTATTGCCTTTCTTTAAATCTATTAAATGGGAAGTTAGAGACGCATGATGGGCAAAAACGTTGATGGTAATTAATTATTTAGATTATTATTATTATTGATATTTTAAATATCAACCTTATTAAATTTATCTGATTATTAGACACACATTGAAAATAGTCAATAAAAAAACTATTTATAAAATTTTTTTTTTTTAAAAAAAAATCCAGTTCCTTAATTTCAGATAACCTTTTCATTTTCATAAAATTATTTTTTAAAAAAACTTAATTTTCATAACTATTTAATTTTATAATGATGATAATAACAGCAAACTGGTTATTTTTATTGTTTTCAATAATTTTACAATGCTAATATGAAGAAAATTATATTTCTCAAAATCTTGAAGTATTAAACATAAGGGATGTTGATTATCGACAAAGGTGAGAACAAGAAAGCGAAGGGAGGAAGAAGAAAACACAATTAACGTATTAATGCTCAAATCTATTATAATAATTATCAGAACGCTAAAAATATTAAACCCGATAATTTTTACTTTTATGCTGTAGAATATGGGAACTGCCAACTGTTCTGATTTGCGTACTTTAGAGTTAACCCCTACAACCTTTTTAACAAAGTACGAAGCTGAATGAAAGGCCTGTAGTAAATGCTATTACTATGCTCCTAATATCTATCCCTATATATTATATTAGTTCTGACCGTGGTAGGGAAAAGATAAATGGAAAAGTGAATAGTGTGGACCGATGACGCTATCATGTGATCAATAATGACGTCAGATTTTCTGAATGGCTTACCTCCACACAATAGATAATGAGAAACTTAACACTTTCTTGACTCTCTCATCGCTTCGAAAGTTGGATAACTTTATTTTTTATGTCTCATTCTACTAATCATTGTTTCTTCCATCATATTATTGGATTATTATCGAATGTTTGATGCTCGCCAACATAACACAACGTATAGTGAAAAATAATAGAACAAATACTAATACAATAGTAGATAGATTGTATTCAAACTCGGTTGAGTTTTACGATAGTCAAATGCAAAACATTATAAATTATACAATACAAACAAATATTAAAATTACAATTGTTTGAATAATGATTATTTAATAGCAATATTTATTTCTGAATATTAATAGTAATAACAATAAATTTAAATTTATGTCCTTCAATTTCATTATAATTGTTTGATCTTTAAATGGTAATGTGAATCAATGCTTTTATCTGGATAACCAAAGCATCACTACGAATACTAGAATCATCAACGTAGTATCACCGTAAATTGCATCTTGATAATTATATCTGTTTCAGTATTAACTGGTTGGTTTCACTTATAACATTTACTGATTTTGAATCATTATCCGAAATGTCTGGAAGGGTGAGTTAGCTACAGTAATCTTTTGTTTTTCATTTTGCAATTTATAACAATTAAGCCCAGCAATAGAATGATGTAAAGTTATGTTCAACTTAAGTTCCTATAATAAATATAAATATATATATATTACAAATTAAAAAATCTCCCATTTAAAATATTAAAATTTACATTGTTATTTCGTAAATTTAGAATATGTGAGGTAATAGTTTATTGTTAGTGGAAAAAGTTACACATAAATGGTAGGGGACAAACCCTGTTTAAGCTTAATTTTACTTCGTAAAATTGAACTTATACCCGTACCACCCAGGGTTTAACTATTAACTATTATCAAGAATACTACTGATTATATTTTTTATTTTTAACCTCTAGAGTATAATGATTTTGATCGCTTTTTCAAACTCCGAACCGGTTTAAACTGAATAATAAAACCGATTTCAATTAGTAAATTTATAATCCAATTTGGGTTATTTGTTTATTGTTATAGAATTATTTGTTTCCCAAGCCGAAACTTGTTTATTCAAGAAAAAGTTATTTTACAACTATAGGAATTATATAATTCACACGCAAACGCAATTTTATTACAATGGAACCACCTACTTGCACTATTCTCATGAATATAATATAACAATAGTGTGCACAATCAAAGCTCGTTTCAATAAATCTTGTTTCAACTAATTATAGTTAAATTCGCATTACGATTTTTTTTGCAATGAGATTATAACGAATTTTAAATGCAATTTTCCACAGATGACTGTATAAGTTCTTTATTTTCCAAAAACAGTTATTTATACGTACAAAACTTGGTTCAATCAATTATTTGCTAAAACAAAAATCAAAGATCTTTTGGCGAAAAATTTTTTTAAAAACAACCAAATCTGGGGATAATTGCAAGAGTTTTTGTGAGAGTTGAGATAAAAATTTTATTCACCATTTTTAAAAAATTTTCCATAATATCAATCTGCCGGTGAAAAGAATACAATATCAAACCGGTCCGACCGGTTTTATTACTATATATATATATATGAAAAATTTGAACCGGTTTAACCAGTTTTGGCTCAATTGCGTCGAACCGGTTCCAAACCTATTTTAGTAATTATGTTAGAATTAAAAGATTGAAAAGGTTGGAAGGTGGTAATTGATGCGAAATGGCGTATATGACATTCTTCATTGTACATTTTCCAATAATTCGCTTATTTTAATGACATTTATAAGTTAATGCTGCATTTGTTTTCTATTACTATTATAATGTTTTGGTGTCAGCGGGGTCTCCGATGGAAATGACAGGGTATGCCACACGCATCTCTCACAAGAACATTCAAATATACATTCACACTAGCAACCTGGATTCCTAAAACACCAAATTGATTTCTAACTGGTCTACATATCATATATTATATGTAAGCATTCCACACACATCAACTCATTAATCTTCCATAAAAACTTCACAAACGCTAATCTACCCTCCTCTACTCATCACTATTTCGATATTTTCCTAGTCAAACACTGACGCTCCGCACTGCAGTAAAATCCAACTTTAAATGATTCGAATAGCCATAGTGACGAATGTTCAAAAAATTCTATTTACAGGCTCAAGCAAATACTCCCATTAGGCAGATTCATCGACAACCTGGGTCGGCATTCCTCAGCATCCAGCAATAATCAGTCAAACAAAAAATCATTCATCTAACATAGTATCATCATTATGTATGAACACTAAATAACTACATTTATAAATAATTTTACTGTTATATTCATAGTTGTCATGATGGTTCGAATGTAGTATTGGCAGAGTTGGTTTTTTATCTTTTACTTGGACATAAATTAATTATTATAAACCCTGGTATTATTAAATTGTTAGCATTAGTTTCAAATTCCTTTAACATCCAAACATTGCCATCATTATTTACTTTAAATGAACTAGATTGTGATGAAAAAGTTATTTATTATAAAAATAATAAATAATAAATTTTATTATTTCGTTGGGATTGCATAACATCTAATACAATGAATTAACATTGATTTTCGTTTATTATATACCTATATCAATTCTTATTTCATCCAACATTTGTAAAATTTGTAAACTAAACCTCCTTTTGTAATATAAAGTTATTCCAGTTGTTATTTATTACTTGTTGTTGATCAGTTTTTATATTACAGATGTGAATGATTATTATGTGAATTATTTTTGGCAATCCTATACCTTGTGACTGATTGGTAGGTACAATATGTAATGTATATTTCTCCAGTGACATTCTGCTTCCTGTTGTTAAAAAGATGGGAACTGCAATTAGCTGTAATTCAATTTTCATATGCTGCAATTAGTTGCAATTAATTGAAGAGCCAACTGACAAAATTGTTATAGATACTTTTTATTCTCGGAATCTCCTCAATGGCAAATTTTTTGATGCATTCCTGAAAAACATCATGATCTCCTTCAGTCATGCAGTTTAAAGGTTCTGAATTGATATACAGTATTCCAAAACATAATGGATGATCATATCCAAGTTCCTCTATGTGGATATTTTGAATGGCATCAGATATTTTTTCCCATGCACTATAATATTTTATTAGTAAAAACTCTATGCAAGGGATATTACTTATGAAGTGTACACAGATACTTTGGTTACAGTGAGCTTTAAATTAGTCATATTTGATTTTGCATCATTATGCCATGTTATCAAATCAACATTATATTGCCAATGGAGTGATGTTTAGAATTTATCTGAATTGTGACAACTATAATAATGTATTTACATACCAAGACCCAAGTCCTATAAGTGTAGTCATCTCATCAAAAAGCTCTGCTACCTACAATATTAATATATAATTATGCAGATCAGAAAGACTTCTATTTTTCATTTATTTTTCAAATGCCAGCTGGCAAGTAAATATAACTTCAATGGAATTCACATATCATGTGGGCTATTTGTAGATGACCTATGACGGTTTCATGCACTCTTCACTGTAGTCATGGCAAATACGCAGTAGAGAAGCTAAAATATCATGTCAACGTAACAATTACTAAAATGATGCAAACTTGCCCGTCAATTCAAAGCAAATACTAAATTGGAAAAAAGATTTTGTTTCATTTCAAATTTATGTTACATGTAATATATTTTTAGTTCAATGGATATTATATAGAAGGAATGAAATTCTACCGAAAAGTTTGATCGTATTAAATATTCTGTTTACTACATCTAGGTTTAGCTTTTTCTTCAAAATAACCATTTTTTTTATTAAACCAATTTTCAGAAGACACGTCATGTTGAAATTAACGGGTCGGTTGACCAAAGAAGCTCTTTACTGAATTTATTAAAATTACCGTACAGAATCATATAACTTATTTCCTTATTTGTATATTATGTATTATTAATTGCTAGTGATGATTAATAATAATTTATGCAATTCAAGGTAATATAAAGCAAAATATATAACCTAATTTTGTGTTTTATGTGAAATTTTGTGGTAAAAAATCTTAAATTATGCGTGTATTGTTATAGCTATTGATTTTAAAGAATCTTGGGACAAAATTTGTCAGATAATTAATTGTTGCTTGCTTCATATTTGTTTAATGCTTAACACCACCAAAGCACAACTGTCCATTGATTTATTTATATCAACTGATAGACAATATTATTTCCAAAAACACCAGGTATTCTTTCATTTGAGAACGAATTGATACTATTCGAGTTTTTATAATTTTATGGAGTCATTATGAAAAGGAGCCACCCTATTTATTTATATTTTTACGAATTCTACAAACATTTGTGAAATACAGAAAAAAATGGAGAAGTGACTTGGATTTAATTCTATGATTTGTTTTGGCCTTTGCATTTCATTTCTGGAGGAGTTAAAGGATCTGCAAACCAGTAAAAGTTGTGGGACTATGCGTCTTGTATGTGATTTATGTGATACAAGAAGGAATAAAGTTGCGCAGTATTTTTTATTTTAAAGTTTTGAAGCAATTAACTATGCAATTATACAATCATGCGATTATGCAATTATACAATTGTGCAATTATACAATTATACAATTATGCAATTATGCAAATTATGCAATTACGCGATTATGCAATTATGCAAATTTAAATATACATCAATCAACGAAATAATTAAATCGTCACTATTAAACAAAATATTCATTTTGATATACATACATACATACATATATATATATATATTGAGTTTGTTACTAATAACCGTACACTTCAAAAAAACGTAGCATTATATACTTATATCGCGGGTCATGAATTAAAGGACTTTACATCTGTTCAATCACTTTTTTAAGACATTTAAAAAATAATCTCAGCTTTGAAGTAAAAATGTAACGACATTTTGAATAGGTGTAGCTTTATACAACAAACTCATTTCATTATGAAAAAAATTCATTAAGAAGCTTGGATGGTGTAGTATGTTTATTTTGATTTATTAATTTAATAAAATTCGAAAGCTTGATTACACTGAATTCAACGTGTAATATTACAAATTTTTTTTATAACATTTAAATTAAATAAATAGGTTTTTTTGATATTTCATATCTTCTTTATAAAATTTATATTGGAATTGTAGAAATAGTAGATTTATTATTATGAAAAACTATATAATATATAGAAAAAACAATGTATTATTATGCAAAATTGATTTGCTTTGCCCCGCGATGTAATTTTATCTTAATGCTTAGCGTTATGGTTGGTGGCAGTGACGGTTTTGTTTATGGTGCCATTGTAATATTATTATTCATGAGTTGATTGTACGTTTGGTAGTATTGGCCGATAGAAATGTTAGGAAATTGATGGATTGGGATAAATTCAATCCCAAATTGATGAATGATATTTTCGCCTATTTTTTTTTTCATTAAAAAAGTAAAAGGAATAAATTTTCATAATTACTTTTTTTAAAATAAATTTAAATTTTACCTCTACTGTCATGGTTATTATCGTAATTGTTCCCCTCATAATTATTTGATGGAACAACGACAACATTTTTAGAACATTCCAAGCCTTTTTTCAAACAATTTCGACAGCTACTAGTTTTTTCTTCAGAGCATTTTTTGTGAGATTTACTGCATTCTGTGCATGCTTTGAAGTATGGACCCCTTTGTTTTTTATTTTTATTGATGATGCTGCTATTTTTCTTCATTATTATAATTAAAAATCGAGAATGTGACAATGGTTAATAATAATAAGATAGAATGTATGATATTTGTTTTTTTATAACGGAGGAGAAATTGGATTCTTTTATAAGTGTTTATGTTACGTCAGAATGTCCTAATTTAGTAATAATTGTATGACTAAACTTGATTTTAACGTATACTAAATGGCTTAACCAAACGCTCGATTGAGTTACGCAACTAGCACTGATTATATCACCATTGTTATTATTGGGTAGTGATTAAACTATTATACTAATAATAATTTATATCTTCAAATGATATAAAGAGATTAATTGGTTGGCGAATGGATTCTTTCATTTAACTACTTTAATATCTCCGATTTAAAAATTACATATTAATATAGTAAGTGCGCCGTTCCACCGATACGTGTTTGGTTTTCCGGTTAGAATTCTTTTAATAAATTAATTATCTCAAAATAAATAAAGTTCATTGAGTGTACGTCACTGGAAATTTTGATCTAATTGGAGTTATGACCGCGGTCAAACCCAGATCGTCAGCTAAAATGGTAAAAACCATTTAGATCAGTTGAATGATAATCTAATTAACCATGTGTTAAAGAGTGAATTGATTTGATGGTTCGTGTTTTATCTTTTTAAATAATGATTTAGGTGGTACAATCAAATCGCCTGTTACGCGCTGATGTATGATCATATACTAATACAATTTTATATCCGTGGAACATATATTCCGAAATACATTATTATAGGCTCATCTTTATTGAGCCAATAGTTGTTTATATCAATTATAAAATGATGAATATATACGAAAATGGATGTAAAATGAATAGTATAAATTAAAATGAAATTTTTTTATTTTGCATATTTTGCATATTTTATTTATTGTAGAAAGCTTCTTTGTAATTTCAAATAAAAAAATTTTTTTCCCAAATGTGAAAAGTTTTCTAGAGTTGATTAAACAAGTTTTACCTTCGAAATATAGGTGAG